AAACAAATAAGCTAGCTATCATTACGAGTGCGGACGAAGATAAGTGTGTACATCTTTATTTGTTTTTTCGAAGACAATAAAGGCTGTTGCCCAATGCGATTCAGTGGTCCGGCCTGTCTCTCCGCGCCCAATCCCGTTGGGATGGACTGCGCGCAAGGCTGCAAACTCATCTCAGCCAATGGGATGTGGTCAATGTGCTGTGTAGCCGATCCCCACAACCAATGTAACCAATCCAATGCCGTTAATGTTCGGAGTCACTAAGGTCGGAACCAATCAGATGAGCCTGCATACCTTCGGTACGGTCCCTGTCCATGCCTAAACCGCTTCCAAGGTCTCGAGTTCCTATCCTATGACCGCTCCATGCGCTTGCACAAGATCCAAGTTGTACGTAGAGAAAACCACCTCCCAATAATTAAAAAATAAAAAAATAAAACTGTCCTATGCCGTGGCACAAAGGCAAATCACTGTCATTAGATGCGTTCCGAATTGCCGCAATAGAGCAGTTTCCGGGTGCAGTGGAGCCGGCATAAACGAGAAAAGATTAGCCCGAGATTGTTTTCTTGCTCGCTTGGAGAACCGATAGAAGGGTCTTCAACTTCTCCACGATGGTTCACTTTCGAATCCAGCAGAAACAACGAGTACTGCCATACACCGACGTACAGACACCGACGTACAAACAAAGACAGGACAACCGTTGACGGCCGCGAGCTGTAGGTGGAGCCAGGGTTATTACATATACGCAAGAGGTTCATTCAACTGGCGCTAGTGTGCGGTCGCAAATTGAAGTGGTCAGCAACCAGTCGAAAATTAACTTCCGGTAATGCATTTCTATTAAAAAAAAAAAGTGCGCGAATTTTTTTCCCTGCGCTCGATTATAAGAGCAAATATCCAGAATAATTCGTACGTATACTAGGAGCTTGGAACATTCCTCAGTCAGGCAGACGAAATAATTGGTCAGTTGCGGCGTTTTTATTTCGATCTCATCGCATTAAAACGGTGCTATAGCCTAGAATGGCTTCGTACGTGTAATTTTGTGTACTGTCGGACACTGTTAGCGCGAACACGACGTCGGCGCCTTTCGGTATGGGAGATATACGTGCCAAAGGAACGAAGAACATTTAGAAAACCAAGAGAGACAGCAAGAACTACGCAGTAACACAGGATCAGTAACTCCCTGGGCATGTACGATCAAAATAAATCGAAGGTCACGTAATATAGTTCGATTTTCAATCAGTACCGCTTTATTCTTTCTGCTTTGTGCGCAGATGCTTGTTCCACGTTCAAAACATCACCCGCGCGCTCGTAATATTTGGGAACAAGTGCCTGATGAAAGCTGCCCGGCGTAGAAAATAATAAAAAGAGACACGTTTCATAGCCCACGTACTTTATTCTTTACATTTCGAATGTTTTCAACCTGCAGTAATAATGCACGACGAGGTCACTTTCATATAGTAACAGGACGGGCATATGAGCAATATATAAGCGTCACCGGAATGCTGGCGAACCTTGAACACGCTCTACATTATTTTCGATTGTGATTTTGCTTAGAATCCTCGCTTGTTTTTAAACACCTGCTGTGGAACGCAGGTTTGGGCCTGAAATATAGCAAATTTAAACATCATTCACTGATGAAAAAAAAATGCGCTAACTAAAGAAATTACACGTTTACAATGTTAATAAAGGTACACACTGTTCGGTACGACCCACATAACAAACGTGTTACATGTTACTTCCCGACGGAGAGACAAAATGCAGGCGCGTTTTCCCATAGGATGGATGAATGGATAGATGCTGACGGCTGTACCCTTTATATCGGGCGGTAGCTCGGGCCACCTAGCCTAAATTGTACGAACCAAAAGTATGATTTCTTTTTTGCCTTGGCCAATTTGCATACCCCCTGCAATTTCGTAACTATCACCAGGCGCTGTGGGATATCACCGGAATAACCTTCGGGGTCTCGGGCAAGAAAAAAAAATAACCTAAAAACGTTTTCCCTCCTCCTCCTCCTCCTCCTCCTCGGCGAGGGAGTCGCCAACTTTCGTCTGGTCAAACCTAGTCGGCGTTACCCCGGCACTGGGCCCACTGGGAGACAGGGTGGAGACTTTGGGCCGGAGCCACGCGGGAGGGAGTCCCAATTTTCCTCTGTGCCGCCTGACCCCAGTTGCGTCAGTTAGTTGTACGTCATTCTATTCTCCCTAGATAATTTCCACCAGTTTTCCCATCTCCTCTGTTATTTCAATGCACTTATCATCCAGTCTTTCGTTCTCGTCTGCAAACCCCAGCGCTCCGGTCCAATACGTCCCCCACTCCGAGGGGCGGGAGCAAGCCCTGTGCACCTCAACACCAAATATTCTGTCGTCTCGTCTTCCCGCACACCACGTATCAATTTCCCCATACTCTTCCCTATATGTCATAGTCCTCAATACTCCTGCTCTATCCTCGAATAACGAGATCCCCCGTGAATTTACATACCAATGTTCCTTCCTTATTTTCTGTTTTCGTCCCCTATACATAGTTAAAGCTGGTTTTCCCTGCATTCTTTCCTTCCACATCTTTCTCTCCGCTTCTTTTCCTTCCTTTTTTCACAGAAATAGTCTGTTCTGCACCCGCACTGGACTGTTGGTATTTTAACTTTCATTTTTAACTGCACAAAAGTGGACTGGTTGCCCTCTGCTTCAATTTGCGTCCCGGAAGTGGCATAGACACTAGCGCCAGTTGGACCTCTAGCATACATTGGGTGCTGCTTTCAGATCACAAGTCTGACAATCATCATCATCGGTTGATAAATCGCGTTGAAGCCAGAGCAGACGCTTCTTTGCAGACGAACTTGGAAATAAACACCGAAAGTGACCATGCCTTGAACTCGTGCATCAAAACACCATTTATACTATACTGAGCGCCCAATTCATTCCAAGCTGAAACAAATTCTCGAGAAACAGTATGACCTTCATACATGACGCCCACGTAACCGAACAGTGCAAAGTTCGGACCATGAAAAGAAAAACGGTTTACTCAACCCTAATGTATGCCAATTCTGCGATGCACCGACAACGGAAAATTCACCTATCCTATGCAGGCATGGCCTTCGCCCGCAAACTTAAAATCACTTAATCAACATTCACGACCACCGCTATTTACCCGAAAGAACATACACACAATGTTTCGTCACCACATTCCATTGCAAGAGATAGGAAAAAAAAAAGGGCCGTACAACCTTGTGCAAAAACGGACGGGAGAAAAACAAACAAACAGCAAGTCAGATGTAAAAACCCATATTGGCAACATCTAAGGACGGGTAGTGTACCGCTTCTTCCACAAGCGCAGGGTCTAGTCATTGCAAATGCGCATAATGATTCTGTCTCCTTTTTTTAGTAACACAGGAAAGAAAAAAGTGATGTGAAAACACAAAACGAACATTCTTTTGAGTTTCGCGAAGAATACGCCACGCAAGTTGGAATGATTACAAGTCACGCAACTCTGCATCCGGATTTTATTAGAGAGCGCAATAGGTGGAAAATAATCGAAAGAAACAAAAACAACTCGAAAGAAGAAAAAAAGAGAGATCGAACTGAAAACTTAAACAAGGATATATAAAGAGGCAGGCGGCACAGAGCAACGTAGACGCGGCATAAATATTGAAAGAGAATTAACGGCCCACAGAAAAAAGAAGACAAAAAAGTGAGGATCCGCGAATTCATTGAAACTCGTCCAAGACAGACTATAAATCGAGGTCACGTATTTTTGCGCGAAGACGTCCACAAAAGACAAATGGAGCCTCCGGCAAATAATAAACAAATGAAAATAATAATAAAAGCGCCGTAAAATAAGCCCTATTGCTCCTTCCGTTTTCGTTTGCGTGCATATCGCGTTGTCACCTTTCATCCATCACTCAAAAAAAAAAAACACTAACAGCGATTTTAAGAAGAAAAAAAAAAACGCACCTGATGATGCAAGCAAAGACCTTAAAAAAAGCGGTCTAGCCAGTATGGTATGGAAAGGGGGACTATTCACTAAGAAATTTCAATTCAATGGGGAGGGGGGCACGATGGCTTCACGTGATCGCCGAGGGTTGTGTGAATAGACGCCTGTAACCAAAATGCCTCGTTGCAACGTTGCTGTTTGGGTTCTTTCTTCGCGGACAAAAACTGAACAACAAAAATGACAGGCTGCCGTATACTTTATTCCCGTGCGAAAAGAGGATGCAAAGCCGCCAGTAGCGCAACATCATCACCGACGTCCCTGACGTGTGCTAGCCGCCGGGGGAACGTCACTGGACTACCCAACACCTAGTTGCGTCCGCCTAGGCGGCCAAAGTGCTCTCCGGTGTCCTTTCGCAACGTCAGCCAAAGCTCTTATCTCCAACCTGCTCTAGCGACTTACTCTTTTTTTTTTTTAGACAGACACGGGACAGTTTATGCTGCAAGGCTCGTACGAAATCCCCAGCCCCAGTTTTACCACAGAAACAAAATAAAAACCGCAAACCCGCTGAAACGACTCGTCACTCGGCAGCGCTCATACATTCAAGCCGGCGACGCATACGGTCGCATTTTCTGCTTTCCCACACTGCGGTCGCGCAACAAAATGTCAAGCTCGATGTGACTCCCCGAATCGGAAGTGGTCGGAGTCACTCGCACAAACGATTGTATCGTCGAAACACGCGGCCGTTCGAGCTGTCTACGTCGCAAAACGGACCGGACTGACCCGAAACGGGACCTCGCGCTCGCCGAAGCTCGAGCTGTGCGCTTACTTTACACACATCTCCAACCATCACACACTTTACAGGTGGCCGGTTTCCTTCCCCAACGGCTCCCAAAACCAACTCAATAAAAAAAAGTCACGCGAACACACGTCGGGCAACTGTCCGGTTACTGCCCCCGAAAGGTACCGCACGTAGTACGGTCGCCCATGGGTTTTCCTCGCCGTGGCGACAGCCCGCCGCCGGCGGCTCCGTCCCTTTTATCGGGAGAGAACAGACCGTCGGTCGGTTGTTCGATGCTTACCCTGGGCTTGCTCGATCCGTCGAGCATTTTCCGATCTCGGATGTACGGCGAGCCGGCCTGCTTGGACAGCAAACCGGCCGAATCTTGAAGCTCCACTTCGAAGCGGGTTTCAGCAACGTCGGCCATGTTGAGTCGGTGTGTCGTTGCCTCGGCGTCCAATGCGAGCTGTCTGACGTTCGGAAGAGTCGAGAGCTGCGCCGCACGGGGCGGGAATTTTGAGCCCGGGGCGCTAGAGACCGACCTCGAGCGGCGTGCTGCGTGGAACACTCGTCGGCACTTCCAGCATCTCAAACGGGAAAAAAATCGCGGCTCCTCCGACCGATGGGACCGCAAGCGAAAGGTTAGTTGGTTTCTCTTTCTTTCTTTTTCATCCTCTCTCACTACTCTGGCAACCTCCTTTCCACCACGCGCGCGTCAGCTCTCGCGGAGAAAGTCGACAGCGGGGATCGCGGGATCTTCCGTCCGTCGTCGCTGCTTCCACGACCTGCGCAACTTTTCCGCGGCGTGTGACTGTCGAATGTGGCTTCTTTCTGTGTCCGAAATGACGACACCACCGTCGTGACGTGGCGAAAAAGCTCGGCGCGGAAGTCGGGCCGACTTTGCTGCACTTCGACAACTTGTGGAGGGAGTGCTGTGTCAATAATGCCCTTTGTTCGGCGGATTGTCCGGATGGCCCGTCCTCAAGTTTGAATGTGTCGACATCGCCCAAAGTGTCACCGGTAAGTACTGTGATTGAGTGATCAAGTAAGCATTGACGGTGCCGACGACCAGCGCGTTGCGCCGGCGAATTGATCGCTTGGCGTTTGAAAAAGCTTTACAATTCTAGCCAGTGCCATCCACGCTACTTATCAGCCGCCATTACGGATAACATTCCCTCAAGCGGTCGAGTCCGTTACTAATTGTAAGAGATGAATTAGCCTCCCGATCGTGTTTAAACAGAGCGAGGAGTACCTCGCCTTGATTAAGAATTTTTTGCAGAGGCCAGCGGATACTTTTTCGATTCGTATTGTTGCGAACTTGTACGCTGCCTGCTGCGTGAATCTGGGAGAACCGAGACGGAACGTTGACCGACGCACGTGCGACTTGTTTACTTTGTGAAAACGTGCGTTAGAATTAAAGCTTTGTCGAATCATGGATATTACGGAAACTCACAGCGTTCAGTAACATTTGGCTGCAAACGCTTGGCAAATTTAAAGTCCGCGACGCCCCGTCGAAGTATGCACCCGCTATGGCAAAAAGGCGCTGAGATGTTGACAGTGGAATGCGGGGTATGTTCTTAGGCTATTTGTAGCCTGACAAAAGGAGGAGGCGGCGGGCGTTGTTTCCGCAGTGGACGTGAGATCAGTCAAACGGCAAAAGCACAAAAGAAGCGTCACATTCAAGCCGCCAACGGCGCCGTGCAACGCCGTTTCTGTCGTTGCTATGGTAACCACATCACCCGTGTCGGAGGGGGCTCGGCGTCCGCGCCCGATTCTGCCCCTTGTCGTGCGCCTAACGACCATCAGCGTATCAAATCTTGTCGTAGACGTCGCTGGATTGACAACTTCTTTCTCGAAAGTTCACCGGTTGCGCTTCTGCACATCGAAAACACCGTCAGATGTCGTCCGTAAATTAAGACAACCCGTCGATTGCCTAGGCCTAATTCGGCGAACCGACAGTCCGATGTGTCCTTTCATCAAGACCGCTCTTGGCAACTTCCCCTCCGACTTCTCCTTTGCTTTTGTTTGTCGGTAAGCTCACTTAGATTTTTCTGCTTCGTTTCCTCATTTCAGCTTAGCTTCATTCCGTTTAAATTCGGAGTAACATGCCCTCCCACTTCGCTGTTGCGAGTTTCTCCGTGTGGTTACGATCACGCTCCCCGTCCCTTTTGAAAAAGTTGTTTCTGGGAGTCCATATTTCCGTTGTTGCCGCCCGCTGAGGCAAAAAAGCTAATCAATCCGCAAAGAAAAGAAAAAAACTAGTCAGGGGCCGCGATGGCTCCGAGAACTCGGGTCGACACATCAGTCATGAACTTTGCCGAGAGCTCCCACGGGGGAGCGCTTCTAGAAAAGCTTCGACAACAGCAGGACAAGGGTCGTTTCTGCGACATCGTCCTCCACGTCGAAGGGCGGAAGTTCCGCGCCCACAGAGCCGTGCTAGCGGCTTGCAGTCCCTACTTCGACTCCGTGCTGCGCATGCACAAAACGGTCCTCGAGCAGATGAACATAGCGTGCAAGAACCAGAACGCTTTCCAGTCCCTCCTGGGATACATGTATTCCGGCTGCATCAGCATCAACCGCGCCAATGCAGCCGAGTTGCTGCAGCTGTCCAACCACTTCCTTATCTTCAAGCTAAAGAACTACTGCGCCGAGTACCTTGAGCGCCAGCTCTGTCTGTCCAACTGTCTGGCGGTGAGGGAACTGGCCGAACGGTACAATGTGCCCCTGTTGCTCAAGGCGGTCGTGGGCTTCATCCGAGACAATGTGGAGGCTGTACTGGATGATCCGAGGTTGCTCCGCTTCGCGGCGGACCAGTTGGTGTCCTTCCTGTCTGACCAAAAACTTGGACTGCCTCGGGGTCTGCCCTTGCTGACACTGGTCACCCGTTGGGTCTCGCACGACCTCGAGGAGCGGGAGGGCCAGCTGCGTTTCCTCCTGACCTTCGTCGACTGGGGGTCCGTGGACTGCGATGCCCTATCCCACTTCCTCGGCAACGAGCCGCTGTTTGCCGAGAACCGGCGCTGCCTCTATTTTTTCTTGGAGACTCTGGACGAGAACGCCGTGCCCCTGGCACACATGAGCGGGGAGAAGCAGGAGCGACTCCGCCTGGAGTTCTCGCAGTCCGCCGGGACGGTGGACGAGGAGAGCTTTATGCATCTTGCCGTCTCCGCAGCCATCGAGGGACTTGCTGGAGGACGTGGGATGGACGAAGAGGAAGGTGGATCTACCGGAGGCGGGCCGAGGGACGGGTCCGAGGAAACGCTGTCGACCGACGGATTAGACGAGGATGACGAAGACGGGCGGGATGGCGGTAAGCAAACCAGTTCCTGCAGCAGCCAGGGTAAAATAATGAATGTGTTGTCCTTGTAACCTGTGGGAACAGTATCACTATATGTGGCACCAACTTTCCAATGTGACACTGTTATACTCCATTCATCCCTAAGCTTACGGTGCGGTGGGACAAACGCACTCGCCGGACCAATCAACCGCCTCTCTTTTATCACCTGACCCCACTTTCTGCGCGTGTGTATGAATGGCAGTGTCATCAGGTGAAGGATAAGCATACGACTGGTCCCATGAGCTTCCACCCCGCAATCACATTAGGGGTGAAGGAAGTTCAGTCTCTGTAACACTAGGGGCAAAAAGCAACAACACCCATACTCAGTTTCGTGCGTAGCGTGCAACACTGTCAAAGCTCTCAAAACATCAATCAGTCCCTAAACTCTCAAGGCTATCAAATAAACAAGTTTAAAGGCCACGAAAAAAAAAAAAGGTAAACATTTGGTTCAAAATTATTGTCACCTCAGCTAATCTGTACTCTGATAATTTTGTTTCTATTTAGTTTCAACTGCAGTAAATTATAGGCCATTGATGTGTTAGGTCTGTGTTTTGTCGTTTCTATTTATCGCCAGATTAATCAGTTAACAAAGTACGATGCCATTACTATTGTCGGTCAGCACACACTGTCCAAGGGTGTTTTCAGAGCTAACCCTAACCAAGTGAGCTGTTGATTTCAATAGGCGCAGACGCAATTTCATACATTGCTGGCATCTAAATTCTTGCCTTTTCCCACTGTTTTTTGTGTTCCATTATGTATATGTTTTTCCGAGGACGTTGAGAAAGCATTGTACCGCATTCTGTAAACTATTTTTGATGGGTATGCACGCAACAAAACAAATGCGATCGGAATGTTTGGTTTTTTTTTATATTACAACGAGTTTTGACGAGGATGACCACTTAGCCTTGTCGGTCAACAAAGTGCTTAGCCGTTGAAAACCATTTACAACAGAAGATAGCCGCAGGCATGCATATTGCACACGTACGAATAATGAGTTTGCCAATATACACGACAGGACCCTTACATAAAATTTGGCATGTGTTACCATTCAAACAATATATTGAATGTACCACACGGTGTCGCATTATCTAAAAAGGATTTATTTGAGAAAGGTCTCAAATAGCACAGCACTACAGTGTCGACGGCAGTCACATCTTGACGATTGGATGGAGTCCAAGAGGACCTTGTTTTGGAGGCACGTTCTGGGGAGAGCATCCTTTTTTGTACAACACCACCACCGTGGCAAAGGAATCAATGCATTTGATTCGTTCCCCATCCCCAACCCGAACAGCTATTGTTGGCGATGACTGAGAGGGACTCTACACAGTTTAGCTCTGGAAATTGGGAAAACAGTTGTCATTGCTCCCAAAATCGCTTCGCGGGCCGTTCGACATTCTATCGTCCCTTCGCTTCCCGTGAATGTCGAGCAGCAACGCTTAAATGGCAGGCCGGCGCGTACCGGCCCTTTTTCTCCCAGTGTAAAATAACTTAGAATGCAAAACTACAAAATATAGGTGAGAATTGTGCCGAGCAGGTTTCAACAGTCCCAAGAGAGTAGCAGAAAGTTTCTAGCTAATGGGTGCATGAGAGTTGCACCAGCTGCATCATCATCATTGGCAACCGAGGAGCGTATCTTGGAAGAGTGTATACTGAACAGAGTCCGTGAAGTTGATTTGCAAGGAGACGTCAGTAAATTAACATTCTCATTTATATAAACCTATTACGTGCTAATTTTCTTTCTGACTTCGATAAAAGCATGAATTTTTTCTTCACAGAAAATGGAGGGCACTCTTAAATTTTTGCTAAACGTTGGGCTATTTTGTTTGAAAGCTCCGCCCGAACGGCAATGGTGATCTTTGCTTCTGACAAGGGGTGGAAGTACTTTGTCCAAAAAGGGGAATACATGAATTTAAATCGAGCTCTGACATCTCACAGTGATAGTGTTCTTGTTTGGGATTGACATTTTCTGGTCGCAGTACGAGACATGAAATGTTACACTAATTACAGGTGCAAAGGATGGCGAGCACCGAAGGCAGCCTTCCCTGGACGACTGCCAGTCCAGTGACAGCGACTGCGACACGAAACCAAGCCTGGGCATCCTGCACAACCTCCTCGTGGAAAAGAACGATCCCCCGGAGCCGTCGCCCACAGACGACGGCAGCGCAGACCAGTCCAACGAATCATCGAGCCGCACTTACTGGAAAGACGGCGTCAAGTGCAGCCACTGCAGCTATGTCGGCTACGGAGCCTCGCGACTCCAGCAGCACGTCTCCCACGCCCACGCAAAGGACGTGACATTCACCTGTGCACTGTGTGACTTCACGTGCAAGTGGAACCGCGAGTACTACACGCACATGAAGGAGCACTTCGGGAACGCGAACGGGCTGCCGCCGTTCCGCTGCGACGCGTGCCCGTACAAGTGCGAGCGGATCCAGCTGCTCCTGCTGCACCGGATGAAGCACACGGACGAGCGGCCGTTCCGCTGTGGCGCGTGCGACTACCGCTGCCGTCAAAAGACGAACCTGGTTGCCCACATGCGCAGCCACACGGGAGAACGCCCCTTTGGCTGCGACGACTGCGGCCGCTCATTTGCGCTCAAGTGCACGCTCGAGCAGCACCTCCAGAGCCACCGCGCAGACCGGCCCTACCTGTGCGACGTGTGTGGTTTTACGGCCAAGTACCAGTCCCACCTCATCTCCCACCGCCGCTTGCACACCGGGAATGTGTTCCGCTGCCAGTTTGCTGGCTGCGCGTACGTGTCGCCCAAGCGGAGCCAGCTCGAGGCCCACACGCGGACCCACACGGCGGTGCGGTCGCACGTGTGTCCGGTGTGCGGACGGGCGTTCATCGAGCGCAGCCACCTGGTGCGCCACGAGCGGATACACTTGGACGACAAGCCGTTCAAGTGCCCGGACTGTGAGTACAGCAGCTCGCGGCGGGACAAGCTGAAAGAGCACCACGAGAAGCACCACGGCGAAAATGCAACGGCGAAGGCGCCGTACCGCCCGCGCCGGACGCACCAGCCGAGGTATCCGGAGGAGGCGCCAATGATGGTCTACGAGGAGGACACGTATGGGACGACGAATCCGTCGGCAGACGCACGGTTCCTGGTCGTGCAGATGCCTGGCGGGGCCGCCGGACTCTCACCGTCGCGGGACGCAGGACTGGACGACGCGACGGAGCTGATCCTCGGTGACTCGCAGAATGGACATCTGCTCAACGTGCACTTGGGGCAGCTCACGGGCGACGAGTCGGAAGAGGCCATCGGCACGTCGTTGGATGACCAGCTCGCGTCGGCGGTTGCAGCATCGGGTTCGGCGGAGCTCGGCAACCTCAGCTCGTTCATGGCGTTCTTCTAGCGGACGTCGACGGTGGCTACCGGTGCTTGGAACCAACACCTACTAGATAAGAGAGCCTTAGTGCTGAATCTTTCTGCTTCACTAAAGAAGGCCAGTTTGGATACGAGTGCCGCGTCGGCAGTTGGCCCGAACTCCCGTTGGATTGGCGAGCAGATGACTCCTGGCCGAACCCCGCAGTCGCATCCAACCTGTGCCCTGCGGCCTTCTTTGGCAACTCAGAAAAGCTCGGTACTAAGGATTTCTTCTCTAGGTGGTGGCACTGGAATATGTCTCTGACTGCTGTGTTTTCCATCCTATACGGAGTGCAAGTTTGTCTGCTGATTGGCTTTGATTGAAGGATAGTGGGTAGACCTCAAAGCAAGTTGCCTTGAGGTCTACCCAATATCCTTCAATCGGAGCCGCTCATCTTTCTAACGTCGCCACAACCTCTGCAAAGAAAGAAGCAGACAAACTTGCGCTCTTCGTATCACCTGTGCGTCGAAAGTGTTCCCAAAGTAGCAACGTGCATTGCCATGGCAGCAGGCACATTGCGTTGCCGGAAACCGTGATCGCTGCGGTCGGTCGTAGCAACGCCGCTGGAAAAGCCAGGTGGAAGCGAGGGTCGTCGTGGCGTCTTGACGCCCGGCCGTCGAAGCTTTTGCGGGCGGCGGCACGATGCTTCTGCAATGTCGTCGGGCGCATTTCGGGTTACTACGTTTGGGGACGCAGTAAAACACACCGGTCGGGGACTTGTTTCAGGCACGGTGGCAAAGCCGAGCTTGGTTGGTGCCGTTGTGCGTTTCAAACGCTGCCTGATGCCTTTGTGACGCCACAGTATTAATTTCCGCCGCGAGACATGTGAAAAATCTAGTGCTTTCAGACTTCCGGTGATGCGCGGATGAGCTTTTCGCCGGTGCATTGTCGCGCGATGCGAGACCCTTGGCACCCGACCATAATTGTGCCGTGGAAGCAAGGTCACCACGGTGTGTGTGTCGGTGGATTTTTTCGTGGTGAAGCGTGACATACAGGGTCGGTTTCGACTCTTGTTGCCGCAAGCGATTGAGTGCTCTCGGATGTAACGTATTTAAAGACTACGGTGTCTGTGTGGTGGGGGGAGACGGGTTGAAATGTGAAGAACAAGTGTGACTGATGTCTGAATGAAATCGCCTAAGCATGTTTTTGCCATTGTTACAAACATGAACGCCTTTCAAGACATTGTTCACCTCGTGGAAAATATGACAATTTACTCTATATGGACCATTCACACCATCTGCCAACTTCATTCTGCTTCAATGGCGACAATGTTTTCATCTTGAAAGTGGAATGCCCAATGCAGTAGTTGTTATGTTAGAACAAAACATAATTTATTTGTGATGCTTGTGGTTTTCAGGATTTCTTTTCTGGGTGGATTTTGAGTGGTAAATCTGCTTCTATCTTGCCAAGACAGAATATTTCCTCCACATGTTTTTTTCCGTTTTTTTTTCCAGTGGTTATAATTTGTGTCGTTCCTGTGAATATTTTGGTCCATGTTTATTTATAATTTTTTGTAAGTACCAAAAATTCAATGCCAGATTTACATGGCACCAGATGATATACCTTTGCCAACGGTTTTGACGCCATGGTAATAGCAGCTTGTTGAGCATTCGCACATGGCAATTTCTCTCATTTGGAATTGACTACATGGGTCTCTACCCAACTGTAAAACTTGGTCAGGGAGCAAAACCAGGATATTGTGGTGCGAAGACTAACAACCAATCTGGCTTGCTGAGTAATAATATTACTGTAGTTGCCCTGTCAAACTGGCAGCTGTAATATTGCCCCATATGAAGAACCCTCGAAATCACAATGAAAGCCTTTTGATCTCTTTGGCTCTAGGGCTAAGCTAGTCTTTGCAGGTGAGTCGACGTTCAAAATTAGTATTTTATTTATTTTTGTGTCTGTTCATTTTACAAGGGCATCTACAACATTCCAGGGGATTCTTGAGCTCTTCAATTTTTTTGCTTGCATGTTATTTGCGACTCCAGCGGTCTACAGGGGATGCTACTGTTGGGTAAATATGGCGGTCTAATACAGGTTGTGACGTGTCGTGTGCCAGCTCAATGCATAACGCTTGGAAATCAGCAAGCAAGCATTTGACTAAGAATGGTTCGCCCTGCTTTTTATCCTCTACATTTTGAACCTGCAGCTATGTGTTGGCATGAGTGAGTTTCCAGAGACTTGACTTTCTTCGAGGAAGCGATGAAAAGTGGAATGTCTGGTTCACGTGGTTGCTTGGGTTGCGTGTAGAGCAACCAGGGAACAAGCTGATACTTCAGTTATGGCAGGGTCACTGGGACAACTGTTCTATTGTGTAAACCGCCTACAACATGTAATCACGAAAGCCATGAGAGACGAGCTGAAATCGCGAAAGGACCTGTTTCGGCCAGTTCAGTGTTTTTCGGCTAGGTGCCATTCGTTTTGCTGGAGTCGCAAATATAGCTATCATGTGAAATAACATGCACAGTGCCGTACAACATGAAAGACCCACTGGGAGTGCATGGCTGAGGCAGGGGCACTGCGAGCGCTCCAGGCAATTCCATTCTGCTTTGAGAAGAAAACGCTCACTTGGGGCTCAGCTAAAGCGCAACGCGCTTATCGGTTTCTGCTGTGCCCCGAGTGGAGGTCCTCCCTTCGAAGCAGAATGGAATTGCCCGGAGCACTCGCAGCGCCACCGCCTCGGCCACCGCCTCGGCCACGTGCTCCCAGTGGGTCTTTCATATTGCAGGAGACTGTACAAGAAATATATTTATCTGATGCTCTTTATGACTTGTATGTAACATTCATGTAACCTACTTCAACAGCTTAGCGTTGTTCTTTTAAAGATTTGAATATCGCAGATTTTATTTACATTAACCAATTCTCTAAATGTTCCATTTGGATGGGAGTGTTTGCTAAAAACAAAATTTCCTGATGCTTTTTTTATGTTTATTTTTTTAGCAAATGTCTGATAAAAATATAGGTTCTAACAACGAAATTCTCTTTCCAGTTGGCAAAGAAGCAAACTAACAGGAATTGAGTCATGTGTCGTGCTAATCCTAGCTCTGCCAGTAGAATTAATTGAACCAGCATGGTCACTGGTAGTGCTTGAAGGCTATCCACACGGACACACTATTGATTAATGCTATAAATGGATAGCAGCGGACACAACGAGCCATCGAAGCCAATCCAACACAGAGAGCATCCCATAACTTTATGCGTCGTGCGTTGCTTCTCTCATCTGCATGTTCGCGTCTCATGCTACATGGAGCGCAAGTCTTCTGCTTCTTGCGCAGGGTTTGCGATGACGTCAGAACGATGCCGAGTTCTGATTTACTCGATTGGAAGGATAGTGGGTAGACCTCAATGCTAGTTGCCTTGAGGTCTACCCACCACACATTTTTCGAACGACCAACAAGAGCTCAGCATTCTGACATCATTGCAGCTGCTGTGCAAGAAGCAGACAAAATTGTGCTTCGCATCGACTTCGACGGCTCGTAGCGCATGTTGCCGTTCATTCCGAGGTAAAACGAATTATAAATGGACGGCAAATTTGGTGGCCGGATACAACATTAAGGTTTTGACCAAATACCACGTGGAGTCTGCTTCCTCCCCTAGAAATTGCACAAAAGCAAACCACATTACGGGTTCTCAAAAAAGAAAATTTGGAAAAGAGTCGCCACTTTTCCCAATCCAGTGTTTACCATGTTGTAAAGGGCCATCACTTACAGGTGCTGTGTTTCAGGGCCTCCGTTTTTGCGGATTCATTGCCTTGGCCTATCCTCTTTACGGCCACTGCCCTTTTAAACTTGCCATTGAGGTGCGAGACAGTCTGTTGTCTGCATTTTTTGGAGCTCAGAATCTTGCTATGAATTCTGTGAATTCAGACGTACCATCTCATCGTCGTCACATCTTCTTGGAAGGGGTTCACGAGTGCTTCTTCTCGAGTTCTGATCGCTTGCGTTCTAGCAGTGCATTCAGACACCACTGAAATAGTGTCGTGATTAATTTTGTGCAGATTAAAACCCAAAGGAGAATTGTCTATGTGAGGACACTGTCTTTGCTTTGTTTTCATAACTGTGCATGAATTAGTTAAAAATGTTTGTGGTGCTGTCTAAATGAGCCAGCACAATGTATGCCTGCACTGTACTAGTTAGTTGCTTTGTGTAGAACTGGTGCTTGGATGCTTGGTGCCTTCCAGTTTCCACAATTCGTTATTCTTTTTTTAAACACTCTTTCAACGAAAAGTAATTCGAGCAGTTGCCTTTTGCTCCTGTCATGTCCCCAGCTGGTAACAAACCGCCAGTGCTACTGGTGACCAAAAACAACAAGACTATACAGTGCCACTGAGGTAAGAGAAAGCCATTTAGTTTCGTCGCACTGCTACGTGGATCAGGATCCGGGTAGAGGCATTGCATCAGCATTCAGTATTGAATTCAGTTGGTGCTCGTGAATTCGTAGGCTCAGGATTATTAAAGGCGGCCTGAAATAAAATTGCCGCCATGGTGCATCAGACACAATCTTTGCATGCTTCTTTCATTTGTAACCAGCATAGCTTTGAAGCAAGACTTGTTTCATTTCATTTTAGCTAACTGATTTTGGAAAGTTTTTTTTTTTTTTTTTTAGGGTCTTGGGGTAGTAAAATGTTATTCTGGATCAAATATGGCATCTCCCGCCTCCACTAGTTGGGCAATTCGGGCATCGTATTACGACTGTTGGCTTGGGGCTGGAGTCTTGAACATGTGGAAGAGCCGCCCGCTCTATTAAAAGGCAAACATGCTTTTTTTATGATTGATTGTTTAACACCCATTATGCAGTGATTAGGTGACTGCACGTCAGGGATCTCAATTGAAAAGGGGAACGATGGCAATCGAACTAGGAAGGAATCTCATTGCATCAAGTTTTCGCTGCATCCATGGCCCCAGCTGTGATGCCAACTACAGTTTTGTACGGTGACTGAAATCGCCACGAGACTGGCTTGCATTCTAAGCTTGGTGCTTGTTATCAAGAGTCCAACACCCAGCCCTGCCAGTTTATAAAACTTAAATTTGTTTGGGGGTTTAGAGAGGGAGGACAGTTTGCCTTGGGCGGTTTGGTCACCTGCAGCAATGCCTCGCAAGCGCTGCGCTACCCTGCGACCCATCGAAAATATTGCAACCCACCTGCCTCTTCGTGGCGCCACAAGCTTTTCAATTTTAGTGCATGAACTGTAATACGCAAAATTGACTCTGAAATTCTATTTGACAGGTATAGCTCTTTTCGTGTACTCTCATCCCCAGCCACCTAATAAGCGTATCTGGTATGGGCGACGAAGAAATACTAAAACGCTTCAGCCTGTAAATAGTAAAAAAAGGGGGAGGCAAAACCAGAATGTTTGACGGTTGCGCTTATATCCCAAATGTCTTCTATTGGCGTGGCAACAGCAAAGCAATGTTTTCGCCCATACTGGAAGTGACAACAATTCAAGATGGCGGTGCCCTTATAAAGAAGGTCTTTAATGTCTGAGCAGATCAGTCGGGCTAGAAACCGTCACGAAAAAAAGTGAAAGCCGTTTACAACTCCCTGTAACGCCGAATTGGAGCGCAGCTCTTGAGGAGGAGGGTGGACCCCTCCTCCTCCTCTCCTGAATCTTGAATATGCTCCGGGGGGGGAGTCATCTGACCTCGGGGGGGAGAAGGGAGGGGTCACGTGACCTCGCGGTTACGCCGACGCCGCTCAAGCCGGAAACGGCCGCCTAAGAGCTGCGCCCTAAAAGCAACAGATACCAGCAGGAATGGCTGTTTCTAATGGCGAAAGGGAGTTCGTATGTCAGAGCATGGCTTCTCGAAACGAGGGCCGAGTTTGGACGCTGCAACTCAACACGGGCCATCTTCGCCGCCATGCTGCATCAGACAGTGGTGATGGGGTGTAATTACAAAGTTGTGAGCGAGCCCACGTCGTATAGCACGAGCCCCCTTCGATGGGCCCCACGTTCTCCCCACCGCAAGACCGCAACGCCAAACCACCAGCTCACCGCACACACTATGCTTCCCAAGCCTTTCCCTCTCGCCCGTACGCTCTCGCCACCGTCATCTCAAGTGTCTGCCCTCCGCATTCCCAGACAGCTCTCCCTCGCCTTCTTCGCTGTGTTCTCGTGCCGTGCCCACCGCTTACTTCGCTTTGTGTGACAGACCGCCTTCGCCTCTAGCCCTCTTAACATGTAATCCTCTAAGCTCTTCAATAAAGTCCCTAATTATCACTTCTACGCCCTGCCTCAGCCCTGCCATGCCTCACATCTGGCGCAGTCGACCTCAAGAACTTTAAACTAGCTTTCTAGTATTTCTAAAAGTCTTTCTCGCCCTTGGAACTTGCCGACCCGCCCACTCGCCTCAACCAGCCAATGCCCTGTTCGCCTCTTCGCCTCTTCTCCCATCCGCCATGCCGCTCATCAACTGGGAGGAAGCCACTGCCGCAGAGCTCTCCGGCTTCACGGCGGATCTCATCCGTGAAGAACTCGGTCGACGCCAATTGGACAATACTGGCAACAAAGAGGAAATTATTGAGCGTCTCCTAATCAACATCGCCGAGACAAAACCACTACCCGAAGCCAACGCCCATGGAGTTCTTCCGTCCGACTCCACTTCAGCGGGGCAGCCAGGCACACCAACCATGTACCTTTACAGCCGATCCCGTCCTCAATATGCAGTTGTTGACTGCATACCTACAACAAAGCCTCCAGATCCCGGCAAGATCCGTAAACGTGACAACCCTTCCGGATTTGTCTTCTACGATCTCCACGTTCAGCGGAGACGGAGGAATTTCCGCTCGCCGATGGCTGGAAGACCTCGAGCGCACCCAACAACTTGCCTCGTGGGAGCCCCCCACCCTGCTAGCCATCGCGCTGGGAAAACTCCGAGGACCAGCCGCCGATTGGAAAGTCACAACCGGGAAGCAGTTCAAGACCTGGCCCGAATGGAAAGAAGCCTTCCAGGCACAATTCGGCGAACAGCTTTCCCTCATTCAGTGGCAGACACGAGTGGCCGCTCGACAACAAGCACAGGGTGAGAGCCTCATCAATTACACGCTCGCGAAGCTCAAGATCATCGCGAGGTGTCCCGTCACCCTAACCGACCAACAGCGACTCGAGTACGTGATTCAGGGTCTCCGCGATAGGCAAATCGCCACCGCCATCGCGGTTCAGCGTCCAAGCACCGTGCCACTCTTCATGACCATCGTCACTGATCTTGACCGCACCCTGGATCACAATCGAAGCCCTATGACGCCCCCTGCGCCCGGAGCTTCCGCCGCTCCAAACCTGCCGTCGCCTCGACCGCGCCCATCACAGCCTTTCGCCGCCGCGCCCGCGCCTCTAATAAGCCCCGGCACTACTACATCGTCAGTCCCGCAGCCCCAGCGACCGCAACGAATCTCAACGCTTCCAGTTGAGCAACAAAATGCTCGATATCGGGACACTGAAGCGAGAAATGGAGCCCCAGCCTTTCGCTCAGTACAGGACTTGGCAACAGCCATTTGTTAGAACTGCCAAAACCCTGGCCATCTCGCCAACAAATGCCCCCTGCCTCGAAAATCACGAACCCCAAATCAAGTCACCCCAAGCACACAGCCTAACGCCACAGCCTTCAGCACCTATTCCCCTGAAGAACTCCCCGGCTCTAAATTCGCATGCATGATCGTCACAGTCGCTGGCGTGGGCCCGGTTGATGCATTTCCCGACAGTGGCTCGAAGATGAGCACAATTTCTTTACGTCTCGTCAGACATCTGAACTTGCTCCCTTGGAATAAACCCCCACTCGTGGTGGTTGGAGGAGGTTCTGTGACCCCGATTGGCTCCGTTTGCATTCGCATCTCCGTCGGACCCATATCCGGACTGGTGGAAGCAGCAGTTTTACCCCAAAACGCCTTGCCATTGATCTTGGGGGAGGACTGGTTCTGTGCGTCACAAGTGGAGCTGCTCGTCCGCCCTCCACTTCCATCGCAGCTTCGCCACCCAGGCAACAACATCATCATCGACTGCCAGGAAAGGCTACTGCCGCGAATGGCCAACGCAGTCTTGCTCGAGAACTCCGCCCTGAGTAAATCTCGCATGCCCTGTGCTCCTGACGGACTGCAGACTTCCCCAATCTTTCCAGAAGAACAGCCAGCATGGTCACTGTTAGGATTAACTGCCATGCACATTACGCCTTGCCAAGAACCACAGACCAGTGCGATTCTGCCCCAGCCGGCGGTAATCGGCACGCAGCTGCTCCCCGACGAACGCAATCGAGTTCAAGCCATTCTCGAGCGACACGCACTACTCTTCGCCACCAGTGACCATGACCTCGGGCTCTATGACAAGGTAGAACATACCATCGACCTTGTGCAAGGTGCACAGCCCTACAGCCGTCAGCCGTATCGTTGCACTTCCGACGACCGTTCGTTCATTGAAGAGCAAACAGCGCAGCTCCTTCAAAAGGGAATTATCGTACCGTCGATTGGACCATGGGGATTTCCCGTTGTTGTCGTGACTCGCGAGAACAAGAAGCGCCTCTGCGTAAATTATATACCGCTCAACAAGCTGACCATCAGCGTCGTCCAGCCCCTTCCCCTCGCAGATGATCTCATGAACGACGTTGCCGGATGTTGCTTGTTTGCGTCCCTAGACCTCAAGTGTGCCTATTGGCAAATCGGCCTCCGCCCGCAGGATCAAGACAAAACCGCTTTTGTGACGCATCAGGGAGCCTACAAGTGGACCAGAATGCCATTTGGCTTGAAAAATGCCCCTGCAACCTTTCAGAGGACAATGAACACCATCTTTGAAAGCCTCAAGCCACGTCATCCAAAATGCGGCGCAAGAGTCTACCTCGACGATGTCCTGCTTTTCGCAACGAGCTTCGCCGAGTTCTTGGATCTGCTTGAGGGAGTTCTGACCCTCTTATTGCACAGCGGACTCAAAGTGTCTCTCACCAAGTGCAAGTTTGGAGTCGAATCGATCAGATTCTTGGGATTCATTCTGTCTTCGCAAGGAAAGCTTCCGGACCCCGCGAAAGTGGAGGCCCTGAATCGGATCCCCACGCCTCAGACTCCGAAGGCCGTTCTGTCATGGGTCCAAACAGCCGGATTTTATCGTCGGTTCATCAAGGATTTCGCCAAAGTCGCCGCTCCACTTCAGTCGATCATCCGTTCGGGACTGTTCGAGTGGATGCCCGCGTGCGAATCTGCCTTCCAAAAAATTCGCCACAGCCTCACCTCAGCCCCAATCTTGGCGTACTTCAACCCCGCAGCACCCACTACGCTGGCCACCAATGCATCTGGGGTTGGCCTTGGTGCTGTACTCACGCAGATGCAGAACGGAAGACAAGTCGTCATTGAATATGCAAGCCGCACACTCTCGACCCCCGAGCAACCGCTTCACAGCAATCTGTGGGAGTGCATAGCTGTCCACTGGGCAATTACCCAAAAAATTCGCCAGTACCTCATCGGCCTGAAGTTTTGCCTCATCACAGACAACTGGACAGTCGCCTGCCTGACGTCGAGCCTGAAGCCCTCGCGGCGCTTCACTGGCATGCTCATGGACCTTACAGAATTTGACTTCACGGTGCAACACCGGCCCGGACGTCAGAACGTGGTAGCAGACATGCTATCTCGCCTTTCTTGTGCTACAGTCACACCTACCACTGCGCTTGCTGACATGCAAAGAGAAGACAGTGACTGCTCCGTCATTCGCCAACAACTCACTTCGAGCGGTGGTGCCAAAGACGAGTACCTCGTCTTAGACGACGTCCTCTACCGCCGCCTTTCCGCTGACCTCAGTGTCATCGTAGTGCCGGCCAAAATGCGTCAACACGTCTTGGAACTTTGTCATGACGGCAGCGGACACATGGACCTCACTAGAACCCTCTCCAAGGTCGAGAGCCGCTACTGGTGGCCACGCATGTCAGCGACCGTCTCGCAATACGTCGAGTCATGCCTCACCTGCCAGCTGAACAACAGGCCTACAACGAAATCGGTCGGACTCATGGGCTCCATGCCAGCCACCGAACAGCCTTTCAGCATAATCGCAATGGATCACATCTCTATGTGCTCAGCCGACAGTTCCAAGTACATTCTAAATGTTATCGACTTCGCTACTCGGTACATCGTCTCTGCCGCAGTAGCAACAACGTCGGCATCGGAAGTCATACGCCACCTCCACGAAGTATTCCATGTGTATGGCGCCTCTGACCACTGCCTGACTGACCATGGACGTGCGTTTGAGTCCAGGCAGTTCCTGCGCTTCATGGCCCATCATGGAGTCACTATGCACTATTCAGTGGCTTACAGAGCAACCAGCAATGACCTCGTTGAGAGGAACAACGCTACCCTCGTCGCCGTGCTAAGAACGCTTTGTGGCGCTCAGCCGGAAACATGGGAAGGGAAGCTTACGCAGGCTGCCTTCGCAGTGAACACTGCATTCAACGCGTCGTTGCAGTTTTCGCCCTTCGAGCTTCTCTACGGCTATACGCCCAAGCTCCCCCGCCAACGACATTGCCCTGTGAACACAACCAGCCTTGAGGATCGCCTCGTCAACCTCCGCGACTAGGTCGCAGGCTTCCGCCAATGCGGAGAGTGCAAGAGATGGTCGTCGCCAGCGGTACGACCGCGCACATCGCGAGCAACAGCACTTTCATCCCGGACAGCTTGTTTGGTTACGCCGCCAAGAGCCTGTCACAACCACCTGCGAGAAGATGGCACCCCGTTTTAAAGGGCCCTACCAGGTTCTCGAACTGAAGACGCCGACAACGTATCTTCTACGTGTCTCGTACAGCGTGTCTCGTACAGCGACGACGGCGTGTCGCGTACGGAAACCGACACGAAAGTCGCCCACGAAAGCCAGATCAAGCCGTTTCATCACCCGTACGTCGACGAAACCCTGCTCGAGCCCTCAGGAGAATCTCCGCCCGACAGCCAAGACGTACTCCTCGAACGGGACAGTCAAGTGGTTTCCCCCGCGCATCCCGAGGATACGCAAAACGACTCCCACCTAACAAGCCCCGACTCCATTGACCCAGTCGCGGAAGATCAAACGCCTTTAGCGCGCTCCGAGCGTGCTCGAAGGCCTCCTTCCTGGCTTCGAGACTTTTTGAGTGACTGATGCTCTCCCAAGTGGACTTGGACAGCTTTGGGAGGGGTGGGATGTGAGCGAGCCCACGTCGTATAGCACGAGCCCCCCTTGATGGGCCCCACGTTCTCCCCACCGCAAGACCGCAACGCCAAACGACCAGCTCACCGCGCACACTATGCTTCCCAAGCCTTTCCCTCTCGCCCGTACGCTCTCGCCACCGTCATCTCAAGTGTCTGCCCTCCGCATTCCCAGACAGCTCTCCCTCGCCTTCTTCGCTGTGTTCTCGTGCCGTGCCCACCGCTTACTTCGCTTTGTGTGACAGACCGCCTTCGCCTCGAGCCCTCTTAACATGTAATCCTCTAAGCTCTTCAATAAAGTCCCTAATTATCACTTCTACGCCCTGCCTCAGCCCTGCCATGCCTCACAAAGTAATACTTGTCTTTTAAAGCGACGGTTTCAGGCGCCCGTTTCCAGCTTGAGCGGCGTCGCAGTCGGCGTAACCGCGCGTTGCATTATGGGACGTTTCCCATCATGACGTCACGAGGAAGGAGGGGAGGAGAGGCATACCTCACTCTCCGTGCCCTTACCTCCTCTTCAAGAGCTGTGCTCTAATTCGGCATTACAGGGGATTGTAAACGCCTTTCATTTTTTGTTTTCTTTTTAAGAATTGTGTTGTATGTTTATACAGCCTGAAATTAGTCTGCTTAAATAGGCGGCTTATCTCTCCGCTGTAGCTGAGCAATTTATCCAGTGCATTACAATTGCTAGCCTGGGGTATTTAACGTGCACCACGCAGTAGCGATACACGCCAGCACGCCGGTACGATGCTCATCCAGATCGAAACTGGTAGGGTTGGGGATTGAACCCAGGATCGCTGGGTTTCGCAGCGCGAGGTTTAGCTCCAGGTGCTACGAGCTGGTGTGGGCTGGCCCACATGGCCACCGATCCCCTAGTAATACCTGTGTCAGACGGGCAGGACACCGATAAGCGCAAGGTCGCGAGTAAATTCGCCGATTCTTCAAGCGAGTTCGTTTTGAAGGCCTTTAATGCACCCGTCTGACCCAGGTGTAAGTAAACAAGACCAAATGAGCACCTTTTTCATCCCTGTTTGAGTATTCATGCAACGAATCTGACCTGTTCATTCAATGATGGAAGTGCTGCGCTACATGTCGCGCCAAATTGCCATTTTTTCTCGAAATTGCGCCAGAATGAGCTTAAACAATGAATAATAGCTTTGAATAAAATTTTGTTTGGGGCTAGTCGGTACATACCGATTAAAAAGTTAAAAGGTGCGAACTGAAACAGGCTAAAAGGTTATAGCGCTTCTCCGTGTCGTACGTGTGTCTGTCTGCGTCTTGTTTCAGTTCGCGCCTTTTAACCTTTTAATTAGTATTTAACATCGGTCGATGCTGATGTAAAAAGAAGTAGAAGAGAATGAAAATGGTTCAAACATGTATTTCACCGTGTGTACCTACAATAGCTAAAATTCGCCCCTCTGCCGCGCTGGCCACGTCATCGTCTCAACTTCCAGACGATGATGTCGGCTATGTGGAGCTACAAGTCGCTAAAAAAATTCATAAAATGGTAGTACGGCGGCTGCTGCGATACAAGACGGAACCAGGGTCTCGTACTCCTGATGAGTTCACTTGATTTTCATCTTAGCCACGCCCACATGCTTCCACGCCGTGGCATTATCGCCGCTAGCGTCAACCATCACCACCTCGCAGAGGGGCGCATGCTTCGAGCTTCACCGCATCGCATCGGCGTGTTAGGAGGAGTGGCTTACGAAGGGGCAACACCCATCAGTTGGTACGATGGATTCGGAAATTAGGCTCAATAGTATTACAGGACAAGGGGTTGCCACGAAGCGCTGTGCGACCACCCTTCGGCTCAGCAGTGTAAGTGCTTTGAGGGTGCTTTTGCATACGTTTGCAGTCGTCTCCGCGTTTGATAACGTTAGCCGCTCTATGCTGGTTTTCTATGGACAATCTGCCGAACTTCATAATCGGCAAAAATTCCGCGAATGTCTGCGCAAGCGCGAGAACGCGATGTGGTCATGGATTGCAAATGGACGCCGTGCAGTCACCATCGTACTACAACCAGCGGTTACGGCGGGGTGTGGAGTAGGCAACACGGTAACTGTGCGTTTGTGAGCGAGTGTGGTTTCCCTCAATATTTTCTGCCTCAAGAACAGAAGATCGACCATTAATTTACGCAGTCCACTGCGCAAGTGACGAATGATGCGGTACATTCTGTATAACGTGATTTTTATTTGAACTTCCCGGTGATGCAACGAGGTAGTTGCAACATTGACTGACAATTACTTTAAAGCACTCTTCGCATTTATAACAATCCTGTTTTCGGCTTACAAGTAGTGTGTGTCAAAACAAAATAGTATTGCTTCTTCAGTTAGCGTTATTCCGTGACGTGTTTTCAGATTCGAGATTGAGGATAGGTTAAGTGAGTATATAGCGAGGCAAGTTATGAATACCCTGGCTTGGAACAAAAGTAAGCTTACGAAGTTTAGCGGCACACGTACCCCGGCTTTGCATCATTATAAAACTACATGAGTAAATGACAATGCGTGTTATTAAATTGTAAAAAATATTATATTTTATTTAATTGAACTAAGGTATGAAATTTTATTACAGCCGTCATAATTTTAATGAAGCATGCAATTTCCTACTGAGAACGATTCTGTTCAAAAATTATTTCGGTAAAATTCTACATGACACTTGAAAAGACATTCACACATGCTCATTATCAATCATCATATATTTCAAACATTTTAACGACGAGAAACATATTTCTAATTAATGTGGATAAGGAGATAATTTAAAAATCTTCCCATTAAAACAGCGCACAATTCGGGGAGAAAGAGAAGAGAACGCAGAGCTCTTCTCTTTTCTGCTCGTGCGCTGTTTTAATATGATGTCTTCGTACCAACTAGCTCCAACTCGCCGCATCACTACATAATATTTTAATAAATTATTTTGGGGATTGTAGGTAATTAGAACGCAAATTACCACTTCCCATGCGTACTCTGACGTCCGCAAGCGCTAGATCGGTGTACAAACTCCCCAAGGTGTACCACTCCCAAGCTCTCGGAAACAAGTGTTACGACACACCTCTTTACAATTTTATTATCACTTGCGACCGAAACACCTGCTCGTATATACCAAGTGTTCACGAATCTTAGTGCTTTAAAACGAGTCCTAAAAAACGGTGCCTGCACAGAGAAAGCGTAAACTTCCATCGAATGTGGATTTAGGTGGTGCATCTTACCTTATGAAATTTCAAGGTGTAGCTACCTCCCTGGGAGAAATGAGACAAACAAACTTGCCAGGGTCAGCGGCGGGCGTGTTCGCAAACGACCAAGTTAGCGATGGTTGTAACTTGTGGCGTCACCTCCCGATAGGCACAGCAAGCAGACAACACAGTCCGTCGTCTGCTTGCTGAGCCTATCGAACGAAGGCGCTCGCTAACTGGGTCGCTTGCGAACGCGATCGCCTTTGAACCTGGCAAGTTGGTTCGTCTCAATTCCCTTGAAATTTCCTCGAGTAAAATGTACCACCTCCTGAATGCACATGCGGTGGAAGTTTGAACTTTCTATGTGCAGGCGCCGATTTTTCCGGTGCGCTTTACAGCGCTGATTCACTGTGGGCACCCTGTTATGACACCGACTAAAACTCTTTCGCGCCACTTTCCCGAGAGTTCACTAGGAGTCCTTCCTCCGGTCCGTGCTGTTCCGAGGAGTCTCCTTGAGTAGCGCCATGTTGAACACCTCGCCGGACTTCTGCGGGCAGTAGGAGCGCGTGTGGCTGTTGTCGCCCGTGGCACCGCACATCTCGCACTTGTACTTCCTCAGTATCGGGCACACCACGTGACCAGTGAGTTTGTCCTTGAGCACGTGGGTGCGCGCGAAACTCCGCCTTTCGCCGTTCTTCTTGCAGAAGGCACACTCGAGTGGTTGGCTCGTTTCCGCCTGCACAGGTGGCGCTGTAGGTCGTCGCGAGTAGGCGGAGTCCGATTCGCGGGCATGCTCACGGCGGTGTCGGCGACTCCGGGCTGACTGGGCGAGAACTGCCGAATAGAAAGCAATTTGTTGAACAATCCACTAGTGTTGAAAACAAGACTCAAGGGTGACCCGACACTGTTATATTGGCAGTTCGACGACGGAGCCGAAGAGTGCCCGGTCGCAGATTTGGAGCGCGAGGATCTGGTAGCACAGAGCATTTCTAGGGGAACCTAAGGGAACCTGGTCGTCAGCGCACAGCTTTTGCAGTGGCGAGGACCCGAAACATGGTTTTCAAACCCGATGAGAAAAGAAGCGGTAGCGCGAGGAACGCGAAAAGCACGAACGGGCATTCCATCGCTCGGAAGAATTGTGTTTCGGCGTCTCGCCGCAGCAGGGCGCCGGTCACATGGCTCTCCTCTCATCCGTTGTCTGCCGCTCCACCTTTTCAATTTCGGCGGCCGCTTCTCGTGGCGACCTGCCAGGCTTTGTCAATATAGAGGAGGCTATGGTTTTACCCGCTTCCTAACTGTGTGTGAATACTTTGGAAATTATCTTTGTTTTTTTTTTTCTTTCTTTTTGTTATCGGCACTTGTTAAGTATGTAAAAATCTTGTTTATTAATTAGGTGTCTTGTATTTTGTAGAAAAGTTTTCTTCTTTTTTTTAAATTTGCGTCAGAATCTTTTTTTTTTTTTTTTTTTTTTTTTTTTTTTTTTACTTTTTATGTTGGTGTTAGCGTTTTGGAGGGAGCATTTGCGGGGGCATCGCGGCCGAGGTGGGAGAGCTTCCCCCGCGGTCGTTAAAAAACGTCTTGGGTTTCGGGAGGCGGCACGGACAGATCCATGAGAGAACCCGCGCTTGGAGCTGCTTGTGGCTTTTAACCGAGTGTGCCTGTGTATAGAAAGTTTCGCCGCTTAGTGTCGAATTGTCGCTTTTTACCCGATGTAAAAATTTAGCTGTTGGCGTCAGCCGGACTGGGAAAAATGCAAGGAACGACTCTAGAAGGAACGACTCTAGTGATAAGTGCTGGACCCGACGTTGTCAAGCAAGCCGGCGTTTGCCCACACTGGGAATTGCGCGTGTGCAGAAACCAGATTCGCGTGAGGCTTGTGCGCACGAGCGCACAAGCCTCACCTATATATAGACGTTTGCAAGTACGGCCTCTGGGCGCCGCCATCTTGCTGCATATACAAGCATCGCGGAGGCGTGGAAGATGGCGGCGCCCAGAGGCCGTACCTGCAAACGTCTATAGGTGGATGGGACTCCCAATCCGTGGCACGAAAATGACGTCTGTCGTTTTTGTGTCGTCGCGTTGAGAGGGAGAAGTTCGACCAGTTGGCGCGAGCGCTCTTTGACAGCTCGTCACACATGAGCGTTCTGCAAACATCAATTTGACGTCACCCCTTTGACAGCTCGTCGAAATACATCGTAAGACAGTCCCGAAAACATCCGTTTGACGTCACGGCTCCGTCCGATCATCAAAAAGTTGGCGTCTACTAAATATTAGGAGTGCGCGAATAGTGGAATAAAAATATAATGCCTGCGCAGCCTTTTACGGCGCTCCGAAAATACTCAATTTAAACGCTGGTTGGTTGGTTGATTTGGTGTTTATGTCGCAAAACCTAATAAGCCGTAGAGCGCAAAAAAATATTGTTGGAATATGTTTAGAGAGAAAAAAGAGGCTTTAGTAGCCAGTGATTTGATAAAAGATGGTAATGGGGTACCAAAAGGTAAAAGTGCGATGGGCATGATCTATAGGTTAAGAAGGCTACGATCTGTGTAGAAGGCCGATATTATCTAAAAAAAATGGAAAACATTAGTGTGTGTCACAAGAGGCTCACACTTAAGAGCAGAGCAGGGTGTAATGGGATATGATCTCGATACAATTGCGATAAATACAAAAGACGTTCCTCGTGATAAGCAGGACATTCAACCATAGGATATGTAGAATGCTTAAGGCATTGTCACACTGCTCACACGTGCGGGCGTTTTCTCCACGAAGGAGGGTAGCCATGAGTCAGATGAGCGTGACCAATCCTGAGCTGGCAAAGGGTAACCTCAAGAAAAGCGTTCCTGGTGGAGTGCACTCTTCGTTTCGCTCAAAAAAGGTTTCATCATGTGCAACTTGTTGCCGATTTCTTGATCCCATTCAGCCTGCCATTTTTAACGTGACGCCTGAGAAGGGCTTTGTAGTCTGCATAAGGGGAATGTTGTGGGGATCAACTGCTCGCTTTGCGCAAATACTTGCTGCGCGATCTGCTGTCTCATTGCCCGGAATGCCCACGTGGCTGGCGATCCAGCAAAACATAATTTCGTATGCCTGTCGCGAGGCAGCAACAACTTCGTTTCGTAATTCAATGAACAGGAATTTATTGAGGGGTGTTAGTGAAGACAGTACATGCAACGCACTGAGGGAGTCAGCGTACACGATGGAGTGAGACAGCTTCTTATTAAGTATGTAGCCAATCGTTAGAAGCAGACCATAGAGTTCTGCTGTAAAAATAGAAGCAGAGGAGTTGATTCTCCTAACAAGTTGAACAGCTGGGTCAATCATGAAACAACCAACAGCAGATTCGGTCTTTGTACCGTCTGTGTATGCTTACACAATCGCCATACTGACTTTGCAGTGCAAAGAATTCCTGAAGAAACCCAGCATTGGGAGTATCAGCCTTCTTGTATCGCGTGAGTGAAAGATCATACTTAATGACAGGGTACTACGAAGGTACTCCCGCTGCCCGCAGTAGCATAGACCGCACTACGGGAGGCCTCGAATCGGGTCCCATGGTTTCACGGGGGTGGTACAGTTGTCTTCTATAGCCATTCGTGCAGGGTGATCATAAACGGACCGGACTCTCAGGGAACACATAAAGCCCAATGACAATCTTCCCTTCTCAAGAGATAGCTCGTTGGCCTGTGCGAAAGGTACCCGCCGCAAATCGCAACCCAAGATGGCGGATAGGTTCAAATATTTATTTTTACTTCTGAAAGTAGGATGTCCGAGGATAATAAAACATACGAAATGTCGGTACTCTAATTATTTGCGACTCCAGCGATCTACAGAGGTCGCCACTATCGTGCAAACATATAATAAAAATATACGAGTAAAAAAGATATAGTAAAGCTACATAAAGTATATATAACAGCGAACCAATATTAGTGAAAAATGTCAAAGTAGCCAAATTCCTGCACTTCGAAGTGTTGCATTTCTGACAGAGACAAAATAATGCGACATCTTTTAATGAGAAAACAGGGCGATATAAAGTAGAATGCTTCACAAAAAAAAAAAAAAAATCGAAGATATATATTTTTTGCTTAATTGCACGTTTAAGTTGCGGGATTTCTCGTTTTCAGCTATGTTTAGAGCACTGTAAATATATTTTTTATAAGTCAGAGATACACATTATATATAGAATAGACCCTTATGTGAAGCACATGTGAAAAAAATTTAAACGATATATCTTTAAAACTCTACGAGATAACAAATCACAAACGTAAGGTAAAAACATCAAGTAGCCATGATTGTGCATTTTGTACGCACGATATATTTTTTACAAAATTCTATAAATTGTTTCATGTATTGGCATTACAGACTACTATATGAAAAAAAACTTTTGAGTTTTCTTTTTTTTTTTTTTTTTTGTCTATTACGTGCCGTCAAACTTGGCAGAAATGACAAAACACCAGAACGGGTTTGCCGCCTCGATGTAGTCTTTGTTTTCTCGAGAAAAAAAAAAAAAATTCCCGCAAAACCTTTTGTGATTTTGTTCCCTCCACACATTGGGGAGTAACATATAAAAATACGAAGAAAATCAAAAAGTGTCAACTGGAGACGCGTGCATGATCTTATCTGAACACAGTTTGCAGAAAATGTCTGAAGCGTGTTTCTTGCTTGATGGCTGCCCTGTTGGCATTGGTCATGCGATAACTGTTTGCAGACATGCTGGAAGCGTATACATATTTGTAGGAAGCATGCCTTGGTGTACCCGCAGATAAATCTGTCACCGCGTCTGCAGCAAATGCCGTGTCTTTTGTATGTAGATTGCAGTATGAGCAGTCATCAGAATGCGGCTTTGGTGAATAAAACAAGCTACCAGGTTCGGGATGCGCGGAGGTGTTTTTCGGAGCGACCGTTTCTTCGATGCCGAATGTGGAGCCGTCCGCCTGCCTGCCCCTGATGGCTCGGGCCCCAGGTTCAGCCGGGGACTCTGGAGCCATGTCTGCGGATGCGAAGAAACCTGCGCAGGTCCACAGAAAGAGGTTGAAATCAAGCGGACCACTACCGTTTACCGAAAAGTGACACATTGCGTTTATTTCTTCTTAGAGATCTTGATTTTTGACACATAAATATATGGCTCTGCGAATGTTCTTTTTTACAGCGAAGCTGTATATGGGGACTTTCGGGTTTTCTCGTGTCGGTCGAAAGAAAACCATCGCGCGCGCCTTATCACCGTTCGTGCGCCCCTTATCTCTTATGATGTGGTTTTGACACTTTTTTTCAATAAAAAAACCACAAACCAAGTGTCAAAACCACATGATAGATGATGAGCACGTAGCGCTCCCCGCATGCGTTTCTCGGTAAAGATTGCGGTTGCATAAGCTGCCGCGGCAACGGCACCGTACGAAGTCTTTCATATATACAAAAAGTTTTGGTGCAGAGCATTTCCTTTTCTTTCGTCAATCATTTGGTATAGTACACTCTTTTGCTGTTTACAAACATGAACTGCTGCTTGTGTCCCAAGTGACATCCAGTCGCGCCGTCTTTGCAAGCCAGTTGAGCTTGCTTGTGTCACCAGTGCTAAAAGCATAAATGCTACACACACAAGAAGTTGGAAATTTAGCGAGGGCCTTCGGCTGTGCAATATTACATCTTGGAGGAGGCAAGTTGGTTTACAAGAATACTCGAAACATTTTAACAGATCTCGCACTCCTTCGTTCCTTTGGCGTTCCCCTGGGTCGCTAAACTCGTCAAGCTCAACTTTGTGCCCGAAGTTTGCGGAACGCGCTAATTGAACTCTCGCGACGATGACGTCGCGCCGAGCCAAGTGTCAATCATTCGAACGCTCATTTCTTTGAGAGAGGAAGAATGTTGCAAAGTTCATCGAGGCGCGCGTGCAGCGCGTGAGGGGAGCGAGGCGCCCGCTGATTGAACGGCTTCGCCGATGACGTAGCGCCCGTTTGTCCCTACATTCCTACGCCAAGCTAAAATTAATGCTTGGCAGATTGTCCCTCGGCGACCGGCTGACGCTCCAAATCCCTCCAAAGTTTGTGTTAAAAAGAAATCTCGTTTGTCGAAATTGTCGCTGACGTCAAAGTGACGTTTCCGAACTGTGCGAGAGCCGTGGTTTGAGCTCGAGATCTTCGCTTCGGATCGAGGCGAAGTTAATCTTTGTCAATATGGCGGTGCGTACGCTGCGGCCGAGCTTATCTTCCGCCACCGTCGGCGTCGCTACTGAGACCACCAGGGACGCCTTTCAACCCCCCGACGACGACTTTCGGCGACAGTACCGGCTATCGAAAGCCGTTGTGCGTTGACTTTGCGACGAGCTTCGTTCGGCGCCCGGACTTCGAGGCGGCGGACAATCGCGTCTACCATGACCGTGGAACAACAAGTTCTTTGCGCGCTCCGGTTCTTCGGAACCGGTAGCTTTCAAGGCATGGTGGCAACGAGCGAGCACCTGTCAGTCTCCCACATGACTGTGAGCCGGGCTGTCAGAGTGTTTGCGGCTGCCATCGTTGTTTTTTTGTTTTTTTTTCTGTAGTATCCGAACAGGTACTAATAAGCTGGTATACAATTCAGAAAGTTGGAAAACAAACAAGAACCGGGGTAATTCTTGGGTAGGGTGGAGTCTCCCGGCAGCCGGCAGAATTATTTCCCCGAAATTCTACTGGCAGTCGTCACTCATTGGCGGTCAAATCAGTTCATCGAACGACGTGCCATCGACAGATCGTTTCATCGGCACGCGATGTAATCACATGAAATAAATTTTCTTCCGTTAGAGGTATATACACATTAAACATTTTCACACCTTTATACATGTAAGTGGGGTTTCCCATAACTAACACCCTAATAAGTGTAGCAATAGACCTTATAAAAAATGTAAAGCTCACACCTTTAAAAATGTTTAATTTTTTAAACACGTTTCTTAAAATGTGGGATAATGCACTACACCTTTTTATAAAGATGTAAAACTGCAATACGCCTCCTCGTCAGGCACGTAGCCAGGAAGGGGGGAGGGGCATAAGGCCTCCCCCCCCCCCCCCGCCCCCGAAATCTTCCATTTTGATGGGGCCTCCTCTCCCCCCTCCCCCTCATAGAGCACATTGTCATTAGCGCCTCCCCCCCTCCCCCCCCCCCCCCCCCCCCCCTTAAACGAAATTCTGGCTACCTGCCTGCTTCTCGTCAATGTGTAATTACCACAGTACATTTCTTTTTTGGGGTACTGTATACACGGTGGCCCGGGACCCAATAAAATGACTGAACAAATAAGTTACACAAACGAGTCGCCGAAACAGCACGTTGCTTCTTGGCGAGTGTCGAGGCAATTTCGGCCGAAAACCGGCTTCAATATTGGCCGGATGTACGGTCTTGCGCCGCGTCCCGACATTCGGCAGGTATGCACTCTAAAAAAAGTATGTGCGTCTACTTTCACGCACAACACTCGGAGAGCCAATCACCGCAACTTACGGAGGCAGCTCAGCGAATGACAATGCCGAAACATAAGTTTAGACCAAAAAACGCAGTCTGACTTGTGACATTAAGCAATGCAAAACGTCACGCTTGCATTGCTTAATGTCACAACTCAGACTGCTTTTTTTGGTATGAGGGGGAGGGGGGACCTCCTCTCCCCCCTCCCCCTCATACAGCATTTTGTCATGGGTGCCCCCCCCCGAAACAAAATCCTGGCTACGTGCCTGAATCGATCACTTGTGGCTCATTGCAGAATAATGTAGGGATGTGCGAGAACCGAATAATTGTAATCAAATCAAATATAGATTTGAATTTCCAGGCCGAATAGATCGAATACTAAATTTATTTTACATGAGATCAAATGTATAGTAATTCTCGTGCGAAAATAGCAGCGGCTGTGCATGATCTAGGGTCAACTCCCGTTTCGGGCCATAACGATGTTGGTGGCCGTAAAACAACTACTTACAACGATGTTTATGCGGATGTTACAGCGAAAGCTTTTAAAAAATTGCGTAGCTCGGCTATGCCAGGATATACGTAGCGTGAGCTTAGGCGCACAAAATGAGAGGCGCTACCAAGCGGCTGCGGTGCAGCGTCAGACCTGGCTACTGCGCAACGGAGGCGCACAGCTGGGCACGCGGCGGCGCCAGTGCGTCTGCCGCGGCTATGACCCCACTCCTCTGGAATGCGCAGACCGGCGAGGCGGGCGCAGCGGCGGCGGAGCGCGCGGCGGCGACAACTCCGGCGCGCCAGCTGTGCGCCGTGTGACGTCACTGCTCCTCGCGAATGGGCAGCACGGAGCACGGCTCATTATGCGAGCCACGCGGCCACGCGAAACTGCTCAACCTCGGCCAGTGTAGCTCACGCTACAAAATTCCTAACGATAGGGTCGTTCGAAAGAAAATATTTTTGAAAACCAACTTTTAGCCGCGTTGGACACCAGGAATTGCTAAAAGAATAAAAAATCGCTATCTAATTAACTAAAATGTACAAATTAACTTCCTATTTAGCGAATTTATATGGTCCATGTGGCAATTAGAATTTTGTACGTTACCCCCATGAAGGCTAAAGCAATTTACGGAAAGTGAAAAGAAGCAACCTGCTTGGAGATATTCGCCAGCGAACTTTGCGCTGTCGCTAATTAGAACGTTAAATGACACATTTTAGTTAATTAGACAGCGAATTTTTATATATATAGTAACCCTGAGACGTAAGAACAATGAAAGAACGGACAGAACAACGAAGTCTCTAACACAGCTTGAAATCTATTCAAACAACCAAGGCCAAGATTCCAAGACATTCGGGCTAGTTTCAAAACTTCCCACCACGCGGCGCTCAAAGACCAACCTGCAGAATATTTTTCAACCAGAAAAAAAGTTCCCCTCGCCACACTTCCCATTTCCTCCTCTCCCATAGTTAACTTGACGGCGGGGAGACTCCTTTTGTTGCTTCATCTCGGGGCCAGATAAGCCAAGCTAAGCGCATAATGGGCGATTTGCGACGGGAGGCACAGCGACCCCTTTCCTCCGGCGATACCAGAGAAGCGCCCGAAACCGAACTCTCCTTTCTGCAGCATTTCAGAGCCTAGCCTCTCGGGTTTGTCTCTGAATTTTTGTTTTGTTTTGCGATAACCATGCTTGGCTAGTCCGAGCATTTGACTGGTTCTGCCGTCCATGTAAAGTGACCCAAGGCCATGTGAGGATGGGCATAGGCCAAGAGCCATCGTCCAAAAACCCTAGAGTTCGAAGGAACTACCGCATTTTCCGGACTATAGCCCCCACCCGGTGCATAGTCCGCAGGGAAATATTTTGCGTCAAAAATAAAAGTGTTTTCTTAGATAGTCCGCACCCGGTACACAATCGGCACCCAGTGCAAAGCCCGCACTTAGCACCTAGTCCGAACGTAAAAAGTATCATACTCAGCAGATCTTGACAAACGCCTACTGTATTAGGTCACGATGAAGCTTTATCGTACGTAAATCAACATTAGTATAGTCCGTTACTCATAAAATCCTTCACGATTGTCATAGTGAAGGATCTAGAAAAATTAAATCATTGTATTGTCCGCACCTGTAGATATTCTGCATCGGGTGAATTTTCAACTTTTAAACTTGTATAGTCCGGAAAATACGGTACTACAGAGTGTATTGTGACCCTGGGTACTTGAAGAGGAAGCGGCGAGCCTTACAAAAAGTGTTTACGGGACGGGAACTCATGCCAGCGTGCGTACTCTAACATGTCCGGTGCTTTTACCCCAACCCACCTGGTGTTGCCTAAATGGGACACACGTTGAAATAAACAGTGCTGGGGGCTGTCAAACCGTTCTTTTTTTCTGAAATTTGACCGAAACTCCAAATATTGAGATCTGCAAAAATCCATAATACGAAACAGCCTTTTTTTTCCCGGTTCCTTGCATTTTTATATTGCGTTTTGAGATCCTACTAGTGACCAGTGCCGCGTTTAGACGTCATATTGCACGTGGCCACACCGGTGACTAGAACTCACCCTTCCGTAAGCAAAAGTTTAAGGTACAAGTTCACCCGTCAAATTTTGGAACTGTAATTACAATATTTCGTTAATTTTTCTCAAATCAATATCTCTTCTCGAAATGGTTAATCAC